ACTCAGAGTTGAGCATGTGCATAACGAGTATAAAAATCCATTATCAGCAGAGCACCTATTCAACAAGCCACTATGTCAACAGGCAACATGAAGTGCTTATTTCACACCACTGGATTTAGAGATCATAATGAAGAACTTTAAAAAAAAAAAGGAGAATGTGTTTGAAAACACAGAGCAACGGTGCTAGAGCTGAAAAAGGAGATGGAGATGGTGTGAGAGAAGATTGCTGCTGGAGTTAACGCATTAGCCTATATGAAGTCTGGTATGGCAGGCCGTTTTGACATTTATTAAGAGCACTCTCCTCTCTGTTTTTCCATTTGTAAATAACTATGTTAGGATTCTTCCTGATCAAAATCCCATTCCTATTTGGAACTCTGACCATGGATTTTCTAAATTACATTTAAATTCACATTCACATTTTTGCCTGCAAAAACTGAATTTCGGAAAGTCAATAAACAAAATTGTACTAGTACAAATTAAGTTAACATGCCAAGAAATTTTGACACATTTTAAGTGGTCATATTGACACTTATCAGCTTGCCTGAATATGTATTCATGACATCTGAAATACATTTCTTTCTAATCTACAAAGCTTGAAGAGTCTCAATACTCACAAACTGACATTACATGATCCACACACACAGGACGAGATTTCATCACACATGCTCTTAATTATTCAAACAAGCACATGAAATGTACGTATTTACAAGATTCACAAAAGTATGTGTTATGTATACACAATTATATCTTCATTTATAAACTACCAGTGGTCTTTGAACATACTACATTTGTGTGTGGGTTTTTGAGACTCACTTGACGTGACTCGATTTTTTTTACAAGCTTTGATTTGCAACCAATTACATAACTTGTTTCAGTCGATCACAAGAAAAAATACAGCACGAACGATGATTTTGATACAGTGGGCATGGAAAGTATTCAGACCCATTTAAATTTTTCACTCATTGTTTCATTTCAGTATTTGCTAAAATCAAAAAAGTTTATTTTATTTTTTAAGACCCCTCCTTAAAAGAAAAAAACAGAAAAGTAGAAATTTTTGCAAATTTATTTAAAAAGAAAAGCTGAAATATCACATGGTAATAAGTATTGAGACCCTTTGCTGTGACACTCATATTCAACTCACATACTGTCCATTTCTTCTAATCCTCCGTTAGATATTTCTGCTCCTTCATTGGAGTCCAGCTGTGTTCAATTAGACTGAATGGATCTGATTAGGAAAGGCACACACCTGTCTATATAAGACCTTACAGCTCAGTGTATGCAAGAACAAGCAAGAATCATAAGGTTGAAGTAACCGCCCAAAGAGCTCAGAGACAGAATTGCAGCAAGGTTACAAAAAAATTTCTGCACCATTTAAGGTTCCCTAAGAGCACAGTGGCCTCCAGAATCCTTAAATGGAAGAAGTTTGGGATGACCAGAACTCGTCCTAGACCTGGCTGCCAAGTCAAAGTGAGCAATTGTGGGAGGAGGTGTTCATTCTAAGCGGTATCTTTGGAGAAAACCAGGCACTGCTCATCACCTGCCCAATATAATCCCAACAGTGAGACACATGGCAGTGGCAGCAGCATCATGCTATAGGGACAGCACGACTGCAATTGAAGGAAAGATTATTGCAGCCATGTACAGAGATATCCTGGAAGAAAAGGACTACAGACTGGGCCGAAGGTTCACCTTCCAACAAGACAATGACCCTAAGCGAACAGCTAAAATAACAAAATGGCTTGGGAACAACTCTGTGACCTTTCTTGACTGGCCCAGCCAGAGCCCTGACCTAAACCCAACTGAGCATCTCTGAAGAGATCTGAAAATGGTTGTCCACTGACGCTCATCAATCAGACATAACTGGAGAGGATCTGCAAGGAAAAATGGCAGAGGATCCCCATATCCAGGTGTGAAATCATGTTAGACTACTATTATTGTAATTTTGTATAAACAGAGTATACAAAACGAAATTTTGTTTTGTACAGCTTTTAGAAGGGTTAGTGACTCAAACCTTCCAAAGAAGTTGTTTAGGTAATTCAGGAAGTCAGCATCAGCTGTACCCGCGGGTGAGCTGTGGTTCCGCTTCGCTGGTCTGATGGCACGGTTTAAGCTGGTAAGCGCTGTCATCAGTCCTTTTTGTTGCATAATTTCCAAGAAGACTCATGGCTGTACTAGCTCAAAAGGGTGCTTCTACTCAATACTGACCAAAGGGTCTGAATACTTATGGTATGACCATTTCATATTTCAGTTTTTCTTTTTTTAATAAATTTGAAAAAATGAACACATATTTTGTTTTTCTCTGTCAAGATGGGGTGCTGAGTGTACATCAATGAGAAATAAAATTTACTTTATTGATTTTAGCAAATGCCCTGCAATGGACTGGCGACCTGTCCAGGGTTTACCCCACCTCTCGCCCATTGACAGCTGGAGATAATGCTGGCACCAGCACCCCTCACGACCCTGCTTGGGAAAAGCGTAACAGAAGATGGATGGTTTGATTTTAGCAAACGGCTGAAATGAAAAAATGAGTGAAAAATTTAAAGGG